TTATCGTAATGATGCGTCTTAAACTTATATGGATATTGGAATGCAGCCTTTGTTTTGTTTCCATGCAACTACGTGTAACGTAGCCTGGGGGGGTCCGTTTCACTCTGAGTCTGTTGAGGGAGAGTTTCCCTCATTTCAGGTTCAGACAGACAGAGTTTTCACTAAACCTGTTTTGTGAAACAGACCCCTAGACTGATGATTCCACGCAGCCTCATTTATTCAATCCAAAGTAGGCAATGGAAACAAGCCTAATTCACATTTTCTTTTTTTTTTTCAAAAGTTTTCTCCAAATTCGCTTGACAGTTGAAAATGCAGCTATAATCCATCCCAAGAAAACTGATATATGATGTATGACTAAACATGACTTGGTAGATGAGCCACTCACTCACAGTTGAACTGAATAATTGGAATTATGTTGTAATATTGGCAGTGGTCAGAGTCTGAGCTGGAACAAGTCTAGTCCACAGTGTCTGGAACTCGCACTGTACAGGGTTTAAAGACCTGCTTCTAACTTCCAGATGCCAAAGGGCACCTTTAACGTTATTGTAGAGTCAAGGCCTGAGTGGGTCGGGACGCTCTAAGTACCAACAGTTTAACAGAAGTGAGTGAAACGGTGAAGCTTCACCTCAAAGTAGACAGTTTGTTGTGGACCTGTTTGAACCCCCCTAAGGACCTCTTCTGGTCCCCAGACCTCACTTTAAGAAACCGGTGGTACACAAGCTCTTTAGCAGTCACACATTTAATAGAAAAACACAGCGCTAATGTGAACATAACGTAGACACTGACTGCAGAGAGCGCAGAGCTGGATGATCAGCATCATTTCCTCTCTGATCTAATCTCCAGCATGATTAGTGTTTGTTTTGTTGTCAGCAGGAAGCCGGCTTTAACATTAATGACATATCAGATTAAACCTTTCCTTTTATCATCGCTCATGTTATCATAATGAAATCTATTATCAGTCCAGATAGTCTGTGCTGCTTTGGAATAATCGCATCAGCTGAGTAGAGGTGGAACCAACGCTGTGCATGAGTGTCCTACAAAGCTTCAGCTGTCGGGGGGATGTTTGTTTGGTTGTAGCGCCATCTGATGGAAATACTGTGCATGACAGTTGTAGGTACTCAACGCAGTACTGACTCTGCTTAGTCCTGTTTCGTTGCTGTTTCAGTCCATATGTTTCCAGAATACAAGCCTCTGATCGCCTTTTTTATTCGTTTTTGTTTCTGACAGGAGACGACCTGATGCGCTGCGTTGACCTGTATAACCAGTCCCAGTCCAAATGGTTTGAGGAGATGGTCACCACCAGCCTGGTAAGACGCCACGGGTTGAATGTGTGCAGCATAAATGTGCAAGAAGAAGGTTTTCAGTGTGCAAAGTAAAATCTATGATCAGTTTATGATACGTTTTATTTGCAAAACTCTAAATTTGGGTGCAGATGTTCTCGTTTCAGTGTGAGTGTGAGTTTTGATTATTTCTAAACCGAACCAAAGTGATTGTACGATGCTAAATTCCTCGATGTGTTATAGATGTGGAAGTGTTGAGTTTACCTTGGTGCCTGGGTGCACTGTAGAGTGACTTCAAATACAGACAGCAAACAGCAATGAGAGGATTACATTTATTCAGCTCTTGCACAGGTCATTGTGTATTCTGATTCTACTGCGGGAGCAACTCCTGGATGTTGGAGAATCATTACTCAGATCCCTACAAGGGTCTGACCTTTGACCCTATTCATGTGCTTAATACCTGTTGTATCGACCCAAACTGTAAATTTATATCCTGAGTTTACATTTTGGTGAATGTGCAAATGAGTTTTAGCAGAGATTTCTCTGAGACTCAGTCGTTTCAAACTTCTCTCTTGCTCAGGAACTGGAGCGACTGGAGGTGGAGCGGGTGGAGATGATCAGACAGCACCTCTGCCAGTACACCACCCTGAGGCACGAGACAGACATGTTCAACCAAAGCGTAAGTACGACTTCAGTTCATTGNCTTTAGGTGAAAAAACAAACATTAAGGCCACTTACAGTTCTATATCAACCCTCATAACTCATAACAACCCTATTTATTTAACAGGATACATTTTGAAGTTCATACGTGGAATACTGCCAGTTCTCAAATTCTCACAAGTCAGAGGTTCCCCAGGAGGAAGCTCTTGAGTTTAAACACTAAGCAGAGTTAGAAGTTCCTAAAACAATCTAATTCACTCAGTACCAGCACCACAAATGTAACGCTTGGCTCCTTTCTTTCTGAGCAGCTCCAGAGTGAAGTGGAAAAGCCTTTCTTGACCTTCAGAGAGAACTTTAAGAAGGACATGAAGAGGTTCGACCATCACATCGCCGACCTACGGAAGCAGCTGGTCGGTCGCTACGCAGCTGTGGAGAAGGTAGATGCAGAAACAAACGATTAACAAGCACAGCGACTCTGAAACAAGTCAGCTCTCTTGCATATGGCTGCAACAGGATTTCAGGAATCATCTAGCTGCTGATTAAAATTCCACAACTCTTCCATAAGCAGACGGCTGTCTCCCATCTCTGGAATGTTTCCTGCTTTTTGTATACGTACAATAAAACGCAATTGGCTGAAGCCTGAAGGCAACTGCAAATCTGTCTCACATCATTTGTCATCTGAGCAGTAGTCGCTCTGCGAAGGGACAAAACAGCTTCTCTCAGATAAACTCATTCGATGGACAATTGAGCATTTAAAGCAGGACAGGAAATAAGTTACTGGGCTTGTTGGCTGTCATAAGACAGCTGGAGAATGGATGAATACTGAGAAAGTTTGCAGCAGACTGCATTATGACCGGGATGAATGGAAGCAGGCTGTAACATTATAATAGCTGCAAACTTTTACCACTTTCACTAGAATAATGTTTATTTTAAAAAAAACTGCAAACAGTACATTGCTTAAATCCACACAAAGCTGTTTTTAATTTATTTTTTATTTATTTTTATGTACTTGTCAATGAAATTAGAGGCTATTTAACGCCTTAAATATACATTTAGGTCATTATTTTAGTTTACTTTTATGCAAATAAGGTCATATTTTATATCATAATACCTCACCTGCGTATTTAAGCATAAAATTCCTTAAAACTTGTAATAAAAAATAAATAACTGTAATAATGAAACTTAACTGGTGACGTCTCATGGTTATATCTATTAGTTGGAACTTTCACCTGTAAATAGTTCCCATGATAAATGTGTGCAATTTTACAACACATAGCTTTAATATTCGTTTTTAAATATTTTTTTTTCTCATAATCTGATCCAAAAATCTCCACTTCAGCAGAGCATATGCTCATGTGTCATTCACAGAGTTCTTGAACATTTTATTCCTAAAACAAGGCTAAAACTATTTTTTCTTCTGGGCTGTTGACAGTGTTTTCTGATTTATGGAGTGATAAGAAACGATATCCAGAATCTGCCCTGTAAAAACCTTTGATTCTAATCCCTCAACAAAATGAAACAAGAATGGAATGGAAATTTATGCAAATGATTGCATATTTAATGTTATAATACCTCATTGGGATATTAAAACTTACAATTTCAGAAAAGTTGTAAAACAAAAATAATTATCTGAATGTAAAAATGTCAGGGTGATATCTGTTAGTTAAAATGTGTTTCCTGTTCTCCTGTTGCCGTCTAGAAAAAGTTTGCTGCCTGAAACTCGGTCAGAAACGGGAGAGGAGATCACTTTGTAAACGTCAGCTTTTTGTTGTCTCTGACCTGAGTGTCTTATCTCTGGCAGGCCCGTAAAGCTCTGGCTGATCGACAGAAGGAGCTGGAGTTAAAAACTCAGCAGCTGGAGATCAAACTCAGCAACAAGATTGAAGAGGACATCAAAAAGGCCCGCCGGAAATCCACACAAGCAGGTTAGACTCAGAGGTCACAGGTCAATCTGCAGGGTCGCTCTGGGGTCACGGATCCCCTTAGTGTTTGTTGTTCTAGGCAGCAGAAAGCAGCGCTCTGTGTATTTGGACTGCAGGCTGCCATGTGTCTGTGACTGGAAAACATCCACTCTTTGATTTCTATTTCTGATCAGTTTTAACCCTGTGGTACTACTGGTGCCTGTAGTTTTTTTAATTTAATTATGTAGCTTCAAGTATTTCTTTAGATTTGTGTAAAGCAGAAAAAACTAAAACTCTTCCGTCCATTAAACACAAAATGCGATCGAACTCTTAGCAGCCCTGAAACAAAACTAATGTTTCCGAACAAACTTTGTGTCACGTTTCAGCAACTACACAACCAAGTCTAGACGCTTAAAGGCTCAATCAGTCCAGCGTCAAGAGTCACAGAGTTTTGCAGAAAAATCTGTTAATGTCAATGGAATAAATGCAACCAATGGACAAAGAGCCAGTGAGTCCAAAATGCATAAACTGATCCAGAGAGAGGTGTATTGATTGGAGACGGGAGTTAATGATACAAATACAAACAAATAAAGAAGACTGATGATGTAGCTAAAAATGAAAAGTGTGTTTCGAGGGTGCTGCTACATTAACACCGAAAGGGCTCCTCTGCTGTGGAATAGGAATGTGCTGAGTTAATGTCACAGCATTCTGGGTTCTGGATTATTAGACATGTAGTGTGTGTAATCCTGTAGATCCTGTGATTTTTTGTTTTTCTTTTTTCTGTACAGTTCATTTGATTTTGAAAGTAGGGCAAGGTGCTGCACTAAGAACATTTCGATTCATCCTCAGAGAAAGAATTAGTTCCTGACCATCACTGAGGAAGGTTTTTTTTTTTAAAGAACTCAGAAGCCAGTTGAACAATCTGGACGTCCAGCAGACAAAATGCACTTTAAAGCCCTACATGCAATTACTGTCTTCTGCCTCGTTGAGGTGCAGTGCGGCATCTGAGACTTAATCTGAAAGTGTTGATACAATGGTGTGTCTAATGTACACCATCAGTGAGCTCTCAGGTGTGAAATGAGTCATGAGAGACGGTCCTCTGAATATATGTGAAAATGTATCAAGAGATTTGATTTCAGCAGAGTTGAATTGCTCTAATTAATTGAAGAGTTTTCCCGCAGCTTTGCGCTGCAGGTGCTCATGTCTCTAGCGTTTCATGGATCTTTCCAAAACACAGCAGCTAATATGACGAATATAAGGAGAACTACAATGTGCCGGATTATACGGCATGTTTCTTCGGCTCGTCGAGATCAGGTTCACCTATTTGTCCTACCCAGACAGCAAGAGGCAACACACAGAGGAAATTCCCAGCAGAGACTCCAGTGTAACTCTTATTTTTGGCTACATTAATGTGCATCCACAAAATCAGTTCCTTTTTTGTTAACACCTAAAGCTTACTTTTACCGTAAAGTTCAACCATTTTTCTTGTTCCACCATCCCTTGGCACTGGTAAATGTAAGTTTGTGACCAAAGCAATGAGAGGTGTGGCACCAGTGAATCGTCTGCTCTAGGTGTAGCGACACCAGGTTTTAGATGGTGCAACAGCTGTAAATATTAACGACAAGGCTGAACACAACTGAGGCCAGAATATAGCTACACCTCTGCACAACTTTTATGCAATCGGTCTTCAGGTGTTCACTGAAGTGACTGATAATCCAGCCCTGGGGACTGTCAATTGGTTATTAACCCTTTATAGGGCACTCCTTAAATACTAGGAAAATTAAAATATCAGTCCAAGGGTGTTATTGAAGGATATTTCAAGATATTTTTTATTTTGTGGCTTAAAGAAAAAAAAGCAAAACAAGATTAATAAAGTTACCATATATGGTAACTTGTTCGTCTATGGTTTTAAAAAAAGGAGTTTATAGTAACTGAAAGTAAAAGTAACAAACTGCAAAAAACATTTATTTAGAAACATTTTATTTTGAGGTAATCATACTTACACAACCAGTAACAAAGCATTTATAAAGTGCTTGGCAAGTTCATTTAATACCGTTTTTCTTGGGGTGGTGGTTTGGTGCTAATCTCAAAAAATAAATCAAAGTGGAGTTCAATGCAAACCAGTAACAAAGCGTTTATAAAGTGCTTGGCAAGTTCATTTAGTATCGTTTTTCTTGGGGTGGTGGTTTGGTGCTAATCTCAAAAAATAAATCAAAGTGGAGTTCAATGCAAACCAGTAACAAAGCGTTTATAAAGTGTCTGGAACATTTGTTTAGTCACATTTTTCGTAATGTAGTGATATTGGCATGAATATAAAAACTAAATCTAAGTGGTTCTTCTACTTCAAGCAGAGGCACAAGGTGGACATATTGAACGTCCAAGGAAGTTACCAAATATAGTCACTTGCCCCGTAAAGGGTTAACATGTGTTTCTCTTGACCAAAGAACTGACCGGATTATTTGGCCTCTAAACCTAAACTTTGACTCTAATGTGATTGGCTCGATAAAGCGTGCGAAGAAAATACAGTTTATCACATGATGGTATCAGATGTCATCCTCCCCACCAGAAGCCTTATCAGAGGTAATCTGAGAAAGATTAGCAGCGGTTTGTGCAAATGTTTTCCTCAGTTTAGCAACAAATCAAACTCCCCTGACAGCAGATTTCACACAGTTTAATACTTAAAGACCTGTAAATCACACAAATGTGCAAAATGATGTGGGTGATGTTATGCACATGGCTCTTAAGTCCTGATACTGTTGCTTGCAAATATGCTTGCAGATATTAGCTTCCAACTTTTAGCCACTGCTGAGCGCAACTATGAATACTGTCAAACATCTCCACATCAGAGTGGATTGTAGTTCCAACGAGTCCAACAGAGTGGGACATCTTTTAATCAAACCAACAGCTGTTTTAGTTGCCTCAAGTTCATTAGTCACAATCTCCAAAGTAGTTTTCCTCATATCTTATCAATAAATTATCCCGATGACGTGACCTCAGAGGGCGGCTGTTCACTGAGTAAATACATATTCAGTCCACCTTTCGTACCTTCTGCTGCTGCTTATATATTGATTTCTGCTCCGTATACTAAACATCCTTTTACACAGAAATGTTATTGATGATGAATTACATTTGTAGCTGCAAGTTGGAAGACACAAAGTTTGCAAAGATTTACGAAAGGATCGAGATTAGAAATGTAAATGTAATATGATTTGGGTTAGATAAAATGCTAAAAAGCCTGACATTCATTTTAAAAAGCCTAAAGAGAACAATTAGTAACATGCTGTTTGGGAAGAGATGCATTAATCAAGCACAGTGCATTTGGGGTCCTGGCTTTAATATGAATCTTTAAAAATATAATTGTGCCTCCTTTTTTTCAAATACAGTCCCTTTATGTAAGTGTATCATAGTTGCCTGTAAACGGTTAACTCACTGGACATCCAGTCTGAATCCTCCTCCAGTGAGCGGTCACTTGAGATCTCCTGTGAACCAAGATGCTGCGTTTTGTCTTTTTACATGAGTCATGAGCTTTATCAGCACCGCGAGCCAGACTTGAGTTTTTATTTTTTTTGTGTTGAATCAGGGATGGGAGTAGAGGGAAGAGGAGCGGTCAGAAACACTTTCTCCTCGACTAGTTCGCGGCAGACTGACAGAAAGGCGTGGGTGCAGACTAACTCCGGTGCCCTTGGGGGGAAGAGATACACTCACACATCGCGAGCGCATTAATAATCCGAGTGAAGAACGTATCCGTCCCACAAAGTCGTTTCATCCATCAGAGGGATTACAGATGTAGAGAGAGGAATCTGTGCGATAATAATGCGACTAGTTCCATTCTGCTGGAAACAGGAAGGAAACCAAATGGGCTGCAAAAATGGAAGAAAATTATTAGCAATAAAATACACCGAGGCTCGGTTAAGTAGTCTCAAGGGTTTGGTCTGGTATGACCAGGAGCTGGAGCGACACTTGGCTGACTTTCTGTTGTGCCGCTATACGTTGCTGTAGCATTGTTCGTATTACAGGCGATCCTTTTTTAAGTCTTGTGTGGGAATAAAGCTTTGTGTTTGGATGATAGGGCTAGGAGTGATGATGGTGGTGGTGAGAGAAAAGTTGCCAAAATAGTAAATAACAGCTAATATATAGTAAAAGCAATACTCGTTCATTTCTTTACTGACTGTCTCTGAGTACTTTCCATCTTCCCTAAGTGTACACAAGGTTGTGTGCTCCTGCTAAAAGAACAGTTTGTTTGGTTGTTGTGAGACATTTTTGTATTTTCTTCTTGGTTTTGAAGTAGGCAGGAATCAAATGACAGCGTGATGTCCACTCGTGTGTTAAGCAGGATTTTGAAGGATCACTGTCAGTCAGTCAAAAAACGCCCACCCAGGCCTGATTAATCAGATTAGCAAATTTTGTAAGAAATAACAGTTTGTTTTTTAAAAGATGTACTTTAATGTTGAGTTTTCAGTTACAGTCATTCATTCATTCATTTAAAAAACAGGTCAAATAAATGCCCCTCCAGCTATGCAGAAACAAACATGACATTTTCAGAAGTCTTGTTTTCATCCAAATGTAAAGTTAACCAAACATATTCTGTTTATAATGACACATGAAAGAAAAAAACACAGATTCTTTTTCACTTGAATAAAAATGTAAATAGTTTGTGATTATATTGCTGATGACTCATTGACAGGCTGTTTCTGCTCTGCTTTTAATTTGGAAAAAGTTCAGTCCTCTTCTGATTCAGCGTTGTAGTTTTTACCAAAAATTATTCAAGCTAAAAAAAAAAAATTATCTATGTGTTAGGTGTGGATTAATCCACATTCAGCCTGCTTACCTGCTGTACGTCCTTTTTCCTTAAGTAATATTGTCACTGCAGACCTTTACTTGTAATGGAGTATTTTGCAGTGTGGGATTCTTCCTGCACCGCTGCTTCTCACAAACAACTTCATTTAAATACCCCCAGATATGTAGTTTGTGATGATATATGACCAAAAAAAGGCAGCAACTTCCCTCATCTGAAGGGAATCGCTGAATATTTGGCGTTGTTTCAATGTTTCTACATAAAAAATACCTGAAAAAAATTTGATTTTCAAAATAAAAATGCCGGTGAATTTGCTGATGGATTAACTGTTTTAGCTTTATATTCACTTTCTTTTCCAATTTCAAAATAAAAATTGATCAGTCATTTCCTAAAACAGCTGAACACCTTCGTTTTTACCAAATGTTACTCAAACTGGAGGAACCGGTGCAGTTTCAGGGTACTACATACACATCCCACTTTATCTTCGTAGTACAGTAAATTCCTTCCGTAACGTTTTTCCCACAGGACCTTTACTTGTAATGGAGTGTGGGATTAGCACTTTTACTAAAGTA